TTTTAAATTAATATAGTTTGTGTGGCTACTTGATACAACGATTAATGATATGGAAACCCGATTTTGAGGGAGGAACCGATTTGTCAAGACTGGACAACTAGGTCAACTAGCATAATTGTCTGTCACATATGGTGAGAGAGTCACTGTGCGCTGCAGATAAGCGTGTCTACCAAGAGTTGCGAGTTTTCATGTGTGGTTTTCGGTAACTTACAGAGACGTAGATGTGTCCTTTACCTGACCTGCTCCCGTCATTTTTTTGTTCTGCTCACGACTCAAATTTACTCAGGTTGCCTAAAAAGTGCTTCTGCCTCGTCTGAACCGTTGTCGTTTTAAATTAGCCAAGACTTTACAGTCTTATTTACAGTATATCGCCATCTTTGAAAATTACTTTCACTGTCGCTATATGATCGCTAACCCGATCTCATGAAAGTGCGTATCAATAGCACAAATTTATGTTTAGATTTGTACTGTTTATACGCAGAAATTGACTTTGGCATGCATATGATACACAATGGGTATTAGGGTTGTGGGGTAGATGCGTATCATACAGTACGTACGCGAAAACTGCGTATCATATGCACGCGAAAACTGTGTGTTATTGGACACCAAACACTTGCGTATCATATGCATGCCAAAGTCAATTTTTGCGAGTTGCACATTAATACACAGTACTCAAGCATCTGTTGTAAGCTGCTGCGTGAACAGGACATTTCGAGACTCTCACATGTAAGTAAATGCGGTTGTTAATCCCAAACACAGACAGTATGAATTTAGCCATGCACACTCAATTTAAAGTTTTTGTAATACAAAATATGTTTTAAAATGTGTTTGTATTGTCCATCGAGTAAAATCTGTACACCAATGCTGTTTTGGACTCCCCTGACTTTCATGTATGCATAAAAACAGTTGAAAGGTTCTTTAAAATAGCCTATCTTCTATTGTTTTCCACAGAAGAAGAAAAGTCATACAAGTTTAGAATGACATAAGGGTTCCCTGTCAGAAATGACAACAACCAGTGATGTGAAGTCCTATGTTTTGTAGTAATATATTTGCCTCTAAATCAGTTTCCTCAGGATGGTGCCAATATTGCAAAAGCTAGCCTTTCTTCACATAGGCTAATCTGAAGATACATTTTATGCCCTGCATGCAATCCAAATTTTACACACCTAAACTGATTGTCAGCAACTAACCAATGAGGGAGTGTTTCAAAATCCTAAATGAGCAATCCACATTTTTGTCATTTCCATCACTTTCACACTGACAGACAGAAAAGGCCTCTAAAGAGACATATTAACTAACCCTGGCAGAGCATAGAAGCCCTAACCCCTCACACTTCACTCTCTCAGGTAATCACACTAGAGACGTTTTGAGTGCTGCAGCTGATTGACTTGCTATCACTGATTTTCAAAGACTAGCAATCACTTTTACAATGACTTCAAATCAGAGCTATGGTGTCATTTGTTACAATGGAAACTGACACAGAACAAAACTGGGGAAGGTGAAGGTAAGAGAGCGAGGGAGAGAAAGATTTTCTCTTGTTTGGAACAAATTGCATAAAGGTGATGAGGTTCAGACCTCTGACCTGAGAAATGGCCAGCTTAAGCAACACACAGAGTTAACCCTAAAACAATTCAGAGACAGGGATCAGAAAATTGTCTTTCGGCTTTAGGAACCTTAGTAATGGCGCAACAAAATTATTTTCAGAGACCCCAGCACTGGCCTGTGTACAAATCAAATTCTTTATTTCAGATGTAGCTATCTATACATAATTGCCTTGCCATTATGTAAGCATGGGTGTCAACAATATATGGTATGATGAAAAATTTTGAATTTGCTTTGCTCCATTTGCTATGAATAGTTTCAACCCAGCAGGAGTCACATCAGAATTCAAATGACTCTAGAAGTACCGCTGAGAGAATGAGCGAGAGTTAGAGAACACAAGTAAATGACCAAATTGTGGAATGATGAAAGTGAGAATGCAGCTTCAAAGCTATCAGAATTTATAACACAGCAATACGGAAAACCAAGTGCAGTTCTGACCAATCAAAAGCAAACGAATACACATAAAGAAAAGGGCGCATAGGGAACTGTACAAAAAAGTACATGTGTGTACAAGTAGAAGTACAAGTACAAGTAGATGTGACCATATTTCAGGTATGTCTAATATAAATGCATAAACAATCATATCATAACATCAACATATCATAAGTCTGAAATAAACCCCTTAAAACAGAATCCAGAAAGTAATCATGGACTTTAAACTTTCTTTAAACTTTATTGGTAGCTCTACACTTAAAATTACAATTTATTAGGAACCCAGAGCACTTTCATTCATTTCACTCATTTAGATCATCACAGAATGAATCATGTTAGAATTTCCTCATGATGAAAAATAAAGTTTAGTTGTAAACTGATCAATTTTGCCATTTGCGACCATCTTAAGCACAGCGGCACAGAACAGGACATTCATGAAGAAAACGCATACAGAAATGGCTGTAATTTGAAATGCTCAAAGAACAAATAATAAGAAAGGGTCCATCCTCTATAAGACGTTTAAGTAAAACTTATGAGTCAATTTATGTTAATCTTTACAAAGCAAACTGTGTGGTAGATCATTTCACCTCTTTCAAAACATAATAGCCTTCTATTTAGCGATATTCAGGCTCAATTTTCAACAATTAATTACACTGATTGGCAGCTCAAAATTGTCAGTAGCCATGAAAAGGATTTGATTTCAATTATCTCGGCTCAAAGGGGGTATGATTTCCGAATACACTTAAGCAAAATTATAACAGGACTTTGCTCCCCAGAAAATTGGGTGTGTTTAAAGAGTGATTATGTGGTGAATGGATGGTTGTTGAATGGGAGTGAATGCTCCAGGCTCCCTCTGAAAGGCACTCAATTATCCCTGATTGCTCCCCTTCACAGTGTAGCCAGTGGAGATACCTGGGGAGAAATTTACATGCAGCACTTTCTACTGAGGGAAACAGAAAGGGCTGCAGGGTTAAAGATATTCAAAAGACAGCTGAAGGGTCAGTTCAGAAGATGTGGTAAAGCGGTAATCGAGGAGAAGTAGGCCTAAAAGGCCATTAAGGGGTGGTGGCGCATGAGAAGACAAAATAAATCAAAAGAAAAAGGAAACAAAAGAAACATCAAAAGTGGTTAAGGTTGCATATATGTTTAAAGATACCATCATCTACATGTTCCATGAGGCACTACTTCATGTATGAATTCAAAACATTTGAATGAAAGCCTACAGTCAGATGCTGTCTGTCCATTATTTCTGTCACTCTTTCTTTATAAATTATAGTTTTACTTTCTTCCATTTATGTTTGCTAAGAAATACGGTCATCGAAGTTAGAGGAAGAAGTTAGAGAAAGAATTTGCTTGCAAGGTATGTTCATTCTGTTTCTTTGCAGTTGCAATTCTCTTTCTTTTTGACCGCTTAATAGTAGGATTCACTCATTTGTATGTATGTATGCATGTATGTAGAGAATGTGGAATGTGTTTTCGTTTGATGAACAAGAGACAAAATTAAACATTTAAGAATCATAACCCTTAAAAATGGATCCTTCTCAGACTGTGATGATGCATTTCACCAGTTATTAACATTGTAAATCTACCAAAATATCTTATATTTTCATTTTCAAAAAATTTATTAAATTACAGAGAACCAGTTAATGTTGCTGCGTGAATAC